AAATGATTTCTAAAAAATCTTTCCTTGTATAGACACTAGTTTTAATCTCAATGTGAAGTGCGTGTAAAACAGTTATAATTTTCTCGTATTATTACGAACATCAAAATATTAACCGAACATGAAGCTGAAACAGAATAATAGACATGACAAAGCATACTTTACACCCAGCCGAAAAGTATTCTACATACTTTAAAAACGGTTAGTTATTCAAATATGGAACAAGCTGTATACAAATAGTTTTTAAAACAACGACAAGAAAATTTTCCTGGCAGCTGTGAGATGATTTGTTAAACCTAGACCAAAATTCAAATTTTGTTACCTTCACGATTTAAAATCCACTATGGGATTCGACTTTTGAAAAACGTTTCAGAAAAACTGTCTAGTCAACCAGAATTGGCAGATCCTTTCAACACAATTACTTTGAAATTCGATTTAAACAAATTCCAATTTTACAACGCGGTTAAGAGTGGATTATTTTGGAAACTTCTTTGAACTAAAAATTGCAAAACACATTGTACGACCTGTACAAATGCCACAAAATCACATAAATTGGTGCCTCTTGTCGCAGGGAAATCAAAGAATTCAGGAGCTTTCTAAAATTTTACATACCCGCTCATTTACAAAAATTCTAAAAATGGATGGCTGACAACGGATATTTTTAAGTACTGTTGGTTAGCTATACCTAGTGATATCTACTTAATTTTACTTATTTTGCCCGTTATGTGTTGGTAAAAAACTCTGCAGTGTGAATATTTTCGTTAACATGAACAGCTCTCGTTTTTTCGTGTCCATATTATTGAGTTTCTACTGTAGTAGCAAAAATATAATTATTTGAAACCGAACTTTGAACAGACTGTAAAAGTTGATTGAGATTAATGATAAGACCGTACAGTCTCCGCATAATTTTCAGAGGTGCTGCCACATCTAACTGCGCTAGTAGCATATACTTATATAATTTCGAATATTATGATCAGTACGTACAAAATATCATGTCTTTCACTGTTTTCAACAAATATACAAAAAAAAAACGTATCGCGGTTAGCTTTGTTTTCAAAAAAAAAAACCTTCTTTCTTACACTTCATATCTTACACATATGTAGTTTCGTCACCAAGGTAAATAACTTTTTAAAATCTTCTGTATTAACTGCTCTTCACTTATCACTCATCTCAGAAGCTATACCGAAGCATTTGCCATCGATACAATGGAAATTAGACACTGGGGAACAAAACTGTGCACTTGTATTGAAATTTTCTACATTAATATACATAATTTGTTTAAAAAAAAGTTGGTGTTACAGTCGAATGCAAAAATGCCTCCAAAAGTTATTTTCAGTAAAAAACGTTTCCATTTGACAATCTTGATTCTTAATTAAATGAAACTTACAATGCGATCTTCCCTATAATTCACTTGATATTTCACAACACGCATCAAAAACTAACATGACTTGTTCCAAAATTTTATTTATTGAAAGACATATACCATATGCGACTAAAAAATTGAGTATAGTGTTAAAAGCATTACACACTTATATCTAAAATACTGCTCCATTGCGTACTAAGGCCCGAATTCTGTAACTTAACCTTTTAATAAGGGATCCGTTTGTTAAAGGCATTAGCGTAAAGGAAATGTGAAAGTGAATCCTTTAATATCTTATCCTCTATTGCATCCGTTGGGGAGAAACTTGTGCGTCACTTTGACTTTAGGTAAAGGAACGAACGGATGTTTTTATTACGATACTATACGCTTTTAGAAAAGGAACGCTTGCGTTTATCATTGTGTCAAGAGAGACGAAATCTATTGTACATAACCTCAAATTTTCACAATATCGGTATGGTTGGTGTGACGGGCTGGAGAGATTTTTAAACTTAAATTTTGTTAATTTATGAGATATGAAATTCTTGTCGTGGTCTTTGTGCCTGACATACAGTAAAAGTATTATTTATTTGCTCGTAGGTTGGTTCGTGATGATGGTAACACATTTAAAAAACTTAAAAAAAAAAATAAACATTTTATGAAATCATGTACATTTTTGGAGATATCAGCACTGGCCCCTTATGTACCAACACACTGGAGTGGCAACTGGTCAGGGGAGTCTGGCCTTTAATGGATTTTTTGGTCTTTTATAAGTAAAGGCTCCTCCACAGGAGTTGTTTTTGCAAAGTTGTTTATTAGTTACTAGTCTATTTGGAGCATCGTAAAAGTATTTGTATTTCCACCAAATTGGGCTTAATTAACTTTAATATGACGATTTTAGTGCTTTTTGCTAACATTAACAAATTAAACCATGAAACTATAAAACTGGACAAAGACATCATTGTTCTGACTCATATAAACCTTTATTGTAATTCCTCTAGGATAAATAATCACAGATTCTCCATTTCTTCCCTTTTATTTAGAAACGGTCACTATATAAAACTAATGCAACTGACAGATAATTTGCATAAAGTGACACATATGACTATCCGTTGCACAAGGGAAACTATAAAGGACTTCACCTTTATGCAACGGATCTATAAGGGTCCTATCTTTATATAAAGGATAATCCTTTTACCAAAGTGCCTTTATACTTTACAGAATTCGGCCCTAAATGTTTTTCAGTGCATTCAGAACGTTTGCACTACCTACATCACACAAACAGTGACCCTATTTCGGACTATTAAACTATCATTTTCCTAAATATTTTAATATCGGATTAGTCTCACGAGTGCTGACAGGAGTGAAGAAAATTGTCTCCTAATCAATCACACAACTGAAGACAAAACAAAATGTTCCTTAATGAGATCGAAATCTTAATTACAAACACAATACTTCATCAATGTTAGACGTGCTGTCCTACATAGTACATAGTCCTGCCATTTGCAATTTACATAAAACAATAAATCCCCAAAAAGCAATACGCCGGTACGTACAAAATATACATTCATAATTACTGCGAAAGAACAAAAGTTGAATAATGAACCTCCCTGTGCTGAGACGACTAAATGTAATTAAAAATCCATTGTGTGTAACTCTCATTAAAACACCATTTTCTACTTTTCTCTGGCGGGTAGTGGTCTACCAAAACACAGGTGGGTATTAACCACCCACGCACAAAAAATGACCTGGATTGTATCCAACGCAAAGATTATTTAAATTTCAAAATTAATTTTGCTCGCCGAGTGGGTAGAAAGAATACTTTATGTACGAATATATAATTTCAACAAACAAAACGTGAATCAATAAAAGATAAAAGTGTAACCTGCTTTTTGATAAGTCTTAAAATATGAGTAATATGTATGGTAATTATGTAAATGATGTTTACGACTTTATCGGCGGAAACTGTCGACATTTTATTATGCGACCACCTCGACTAAAAAACTGCAAGTTGAGAATTTTTAAAATATACGTTACTTACTTTTGTTATGTATAACGTATCCATGCCATATACACAGTGTATTAGTAAATCTCATCGTGGGAAGTTTTAACGTGCTCACAAAATTTCTGCAAGAAAATTCAAACTCGTGGTTCTTTGAATTGTGGCGAATCAAATTCTGATCATTTACCGATGCTAATGTATAATTTTTACTTAAAATGTAACATATAACGGCACTACACAAGAGTTTGCATAGACGACAAACCTGAAACGATTAATAAAATATGTTCTACACCAGAAAAAACAACTCAATCAAATACAGTAAAATTATTATTCAAAGAAAAAAGTTTTGTGCCGTTTTTATCACCGATGCAGCACCCTGCTAAATTATATATAATATCTCAGTTTCTAAAAGCCTATCGAGGTTTCAGGCTCACAGAGAATCCAAGATTCACGGATTTACGACAAGGGCCAAATTTTGTAACATTTGCGACATAGTGTTTACATGTTGGTGAGACAGAGGCGTATTTTCACCCACGACACAATTCGCTGTAACACGCATTGATCACATACGTTGTTAATTTCGTTTTTCTATCAAGCATTGTTTTAGTTTGTTGATTACTCTTGTATCTCACCTGATTATGCACCTTTTGGAACAAATATTTCCGACTCTATTAAAATACTGCTACCGAAATTTACTTAACCCTGCAGTGGTGACGTACGGTCTCTCAGACCGACTAAAATTTAAATTTTGAATTTTAGCGCCTACGCACGTCATACGTCATTCTGCGTCAGTTTAGCTTATTTTTTTAGTTCTCCGAACCTGCAGTGTGCATCATAGCGTGCAGGCGTTAATAGCTGTCAAGTAACTGCCAATTTCGGACTCTCAGACCGACGTCACCACTTATGCTACACTTTGTTAAATTGTAATATTGAAAAAGTTTTTACTTGTTTTGTGTTGAGAAGTGAATTTATTGCTAAAGGTAAGTTTTAAGATGCAACAAAACTGTTGTCTTAAGTGTAAACAATTCTAGAAGATATTTGCAAACAATAATGAGTTATGAAGCGGACCAGCAGAGACTTCAACGTCTGATGGAAGAGTGTTTTTCTGATGAAAATGATTGCGAAGCTGACGACGCGGTAGATGATGAAGTTGAAGACGGTCGTTTTGAAGAACGAGAAGAAAATACAGATACAGAGCAGGAATTGGAATTTGACGACGTTGAATCTGATCAAGAATCGAGTGAAGAACGATAGGTAAATACGAGGTTGGTTTTTATTGGCAAGGATGGAACTATTTGGAGAAAACATTGTAAGCAAAGGAAGGTTAGACGAACAATAAAAAATCTTGTGACTCAATTACCAGGACCCATTGGTCCTGTACGGTTAGTCAAAACACCACTTGAAATTTTTCATCACTTTTTTGATCAGAATGTATTAGATATAATAGTTGAAAATACAAACAAATATTTAGCGACTGCAGAAGCTAACTATTCTCGAGCGACTTATACTCGTCCCACAAATTTTATAGAAATTCAAGCATTACTGGGCATTCTGTTACTTAGTGGTGTCAAAAAATCAAATCACTTGAACGCTGAAGATTTATTTAAATCGAATGGTACTTGCCCCGAAATATTCAGACTTACAATGTCGTGCCAAAGATTTCGAATTCTTTTGAGATACCTGAGATTTGATGATATAGACACTCGCGCTGAGCGAAAATCTTTGGATAAGCTGGCTCCTATCAGAGAATTGTTCACGGCTGTAGTAGACAACTGTAAGAAAAATTACAGCCTCTCTCATAGCACAACAATCGATGAGAAACTAGAAGGCTTTCGGGGCCGTTGTTCCTTTCGCCAATATATTCCTAGCAAGCCCAATAAATATGGCATTAAAATTTATGCTCTTTGCGATGCAAAAATGTTTTATACGGCTAATCTAGACGTCTACGTTGGAGCCCAACCTGAAGGGCCATTTTCACAAAATAACAGTGCACTTGCAGTTGTCGATAGACTGTGTGAACCAATGAAAGGAAAAGGTAGAAACCTTACTACTGATAATTTTTTTACAAGCACTGAATTGTCTAAGCTATTGCTGCGCCATAAAATTACAACTGTAGGAACAATTAGAAAAAATAAGCGTGCGTTGCCACGAGAATTTGTTGAAGGAAAAAATCGGCCGATTGGTTCTAGTATGTTTGGTTTTAGGGATGATTGTACTCTAGTATCCTATATTCCCAAAAAAAATAAAAACGTTCTTCTGATTTCTACTATGCATGACGACGATTTAGTCAATGAGGCTACAGGAAAACCACAGATAATTCTTGATTATAACGCCACTAAAGGAGGAGTGGATACTGTAGACCAATTGTGCGCTAACTATAATTGTGCCCGTAATACCCGGAGGTGGCAAATGGTGGTTTTTTACAGTCTTGTAAATATTTCTGCAATAAATTCAGAGGTAATTTTTCACGCAAATAACCCCGAAGATAGAACTCTTCGTCGACACTTTTTAGAAGACTTATCTTTTGCGCTGATAAATAACCATTTGAAAGCACGAGCTTTATCCGAAAATTTACCAAGAACAATGCGCACCAGAATTCGGGAACTTTGCCATCTTGATCCTGAAGCTTCCACATCACAAGAACCAACAGAACCAGGACGCTGTGAATTGTGCTCTTCCAAGAAAAACAGAAAAACTCGATTCTTCTGTAAGAGCTGCAAGACGTTTATGTGCCTAGAACATTGTATCGAGTGAGCAATATAATTTGTAATCGAGTTACATTTGAAATAACATTTGAACAGGGTACGTGTGTCTTACCAAATTCTGACGATTAATGATGTCTACAGTTCCGCCGCTTACTTGCATTAATGGGTTTTGGAAATTTTATTAAAATGAATGCTAAAAATTTTAAATTGTACCGAGTCGTTCAGTTTTGCAATTCTGCAGTTTTTAAAATTCATCCCTATTTTTTACATGATTTGAATATGTATTCGCCTGTGGTATTCGCAGTAAGACCTTGACCGATATTGGATGTAACTTGAACCACTGTTCAACTGCTCGTTACGTTTGAGGTTAAGTTGGTTGTGTTTTCCAAGTGTTTTCGAACTGAATTGTGTCTTTTTCTGAATTCTTTAAGTAACTGAAGGGCCGTAACGAATGATTTTTTGCTTTTGTTGTGTTTCGTACTGAAAATCCTTTTAAAAAAACAGTTCTTTTCAGAACTAACTTGTGTTCATTTTGGGCCGTTTTTTGGCTTAAATTTTCAACAAATTCAATAACTTGATGAAAAATGGCTTTTACATTGGAACATAAGACTTTTATGATTGAGTCTTACTTTCGAAATGGTCAAAAAATCGACGGACAATGGCAATATTAATTCCTGACACGTGGACCGAATTTAGAGAGCAATTTTCAAACAATATTGTGGATTATGCTAATTTTTGCAATTCATTAAAGCGTAGTGCACTTGCCGAACAATATTGAAAAAGACTTGGGATTATTTGTTTATCGATTACAATGTGTGCAAGAATGACATGAGGGGAATTTTCCAATCAGACGTGAATACTGTGAGTGGTTTTTGAACACATTTGATGATGAACTGCTAGAGAAGACATTTTTTACGGATGAAGCTTGGTTCCACGTGAGTGGTTATGTTAATTCCCAAAATATGCGAATGTGGAGCCAAGAGAAACCACCTTTTTATGTTGAGGCCCCACTTCATGCACAAAAAATTGGTGTTTGGGCTGCAATTAGCCAAAGACGCATCATAGGCCCATTCTTTTTTAATGGTAAGAAAATGAAAACCAAAGTTTTTTAACTTTCTTCCTCAACTTATCATTTTTTAGGCAATTTAACTTCTATTTGATATCTGGAAGAAATTTTGGGGCCATTCAGAAGAGAACTCCATGATGATGAATTAGCTTTTGGTTTTTTCCAACCATTACGAGAGTTTTTTGACCAAAGAGTTATTAGTCGAAATACTGAACATATCTGGCCCCCAAGATCATGTAATCTTACACCTGCTGATTTTTTCTCTGGCCGCATTTAAAGAACACAATTTATTGTACTCCTGCTAATGATTTGGAAGATTTAAGGAACAGAATAACTGAAAAAAATCAACGAAATAAACAACAATGAGGTTATATTGAACAATGTCATTGATGCAGTTTGAAGAAGAGTTTTGCTGTGTTTTCAAGAAAATGGGGAACATTTGCAACATTTATTGTGAATAGGGACTTTAAATATAGTGTTTAATGCTCTAATGGAAATTAATTGTGAATTTAAGTGTCATTTTTTTTTTATTAAAAAATAAATGAAAATTCAAAATTTTGGTTTGTTTTTGGCTGAAAAATGTGTTTGCACAAGTCGATTTACCTCATTAAAGTGAAATCAAACCATCATCGATTTAAAGGTCGATTCCTTTACTGTGGTCTGTTTTTGTGGAATTATATTCACCGAATTCGCCCCCATATTTCAGGATACGTTAAAAAAAAAAGATGAGTTTTACTAAATCAAAAATCTGAACATTTAAATGGTTAATCATTCATTATTCAAATTCAGTTCTGAGTTCACGCCATTTTTTTCTTTCCATCTGTCAATTTAATTTATTTGAAGTTATGTACTATGTGGATCAATCATCGACGTGACTTTTCCGAAACAAATGAAAATCAACAAATGACTCGATTACAAATTATATTGCTCGCTCGATATAATGATCTGTGAAGATTGTTTCGGTAAAAATTTGGTTTGCGATAACTAATCTTGTTTAGAATTGATAAATAGTTATTTTTCTTGTAAAACTGTTTAATTTTATTTCACAAAAATATGAAAATTGTACTTTGTTATGTCTTCTAAAATTTGAATTTGCAAAAAAAAATTGAATTTAATTTTTTTCTTAAATAAAAAACTAAATCTGACAGTTCTGTTTACAATCAATAAGCTGTAAAGATAGTATAGTTAATAAATATTAAAAAAAAAACACGAAAAAGTTGAAATGTCTGTGAGACCGACGTCACCACTGGTGTCATGAAATAGCACGTCACCACTGGAGGGTTAACTGGAACCACAAGGAAATAATTTGGTATATTTTGAAGGCCAAGGATAGGTGAGATTTAATGTAACACTATACTTTATTATATCTCGTTAAATAAAATAATAAAAAAGAGCTCCAGGCTAATGTTTACACCACAATGACTTAATGAAATGTGTCATAAAACGATAACTGCGCATCAGTAATAATAGTCATGAATTTTAAATTGTTAAATAAACAATAATTATTCTGTCGAAACCTAATCAAAACAATGTATAGTTAAATGTGTGCATTACTAATATGAGAAGAACTATTCACTCTAAACTGATGAATATTAACTACTTACAAGGAAATTGCAGCAATACAAGTTTAACCATTAGAAAAAGTTTCGTCGTCGTTAAATGACGAATTGGCCAATCAAGCTAAGCAACTATTCAAAAGTTCGAAGTTGAAGACATTTAGATTTCGTATAATAAAAATTAAGACTAACTTTTCCATTACTACTCATTTGCATGACTTTAGTGCGAAAGACTTTTCAACTTCCGACTGCATTAACTTTAATTATCCCCACGTTAGACTTAACTCACTAAATGTGAATTCCTACACAGGAAATTAACCTATTTAGTTAAGATTGCATTTAAATTGCTACTTTCCTATAATATACAGGCGGGGCCTACGTATGTAACATCAACGACTTTGTAGTGTATCTCAGTAACGCGACGCTAATGACAGTTCGGTATATGTTGTTAGCAATAAAGGCAGTAGTTTTACCTTGACCTTTTTGAAATAGTATGAATTTACAAATTGTCGAAAGAACATGTCTCGTTAAAAATGTGTACGAAAACCGGGAAAGTCGAAGAAAAAAGGGCGTAAAGATTGGCCATACGCATAAGAGTCTACTGTCGTAAAGACAAATGATTGCCAAATAAAAGAAAATAAAACCAGTGAACTAGAAACGAATGGAATTAGAGATAAAGGAAAAAAGATCCGGGGAAACAAAAGGAATAAGATGTGTGAGCAAATAAATCGGGCCATTATTTAGGGAAATAGATACGTTTGCAAACGACATCCCATTTCTGTTGTAAGATAACTTTTTCCCTGTATCAAATAAATTACGTTAAAGTCAGCTGTTGAGAATTCCGACAGGCGGCTGTGACCTTTATTGTTTATCCACGATTGAATGCACAAATGAGTTTGCGGGCAGCAAGGACAATGCCGGCGTAAATAAATCATAATCAATCAGTCATTTTCACTCTTAACTAATTAAATTCAAATAAGAAATCCCACACTTGACAAATGTAGGTCAAATATAACCTACAACATGATTCTGCGGCTACTGTGCCGCATTGCTCGCTAATGTCAAGTCTTCAGGGATTCGCAAATGACGAAAAATTGAAAACAATTTAAAAATACCGCAATTTTGACAGCTGATGCCATAAACAATGTTAAAATTTAATTCGAGAACTTACCGATAATGAGCATTTTTCTTAAAGAAATTAAAATTTGAAGTTATAAATAGCATCGAAAACAGTCAACACAACACAAATGTAAGACACAGACACGTTTTCACATCGTTACAAGTTTTAAATTTTATAAATTGTTGGAAAACTTTACACCACCCTACACACAGACTTCCATGCTGATTTTCAAACTAAAATACGCGCATGCGCCAACAATCAGCTGCGATAGATTTAGGGTTCTTGCGTCAAAATCCTATGCATATATCCATAACTGTAACAATCCATACTCATGCATATCCATACAATAAAAAAAGGTTACTTTTGTAGGCTTTTAGTAAATTTTGTGCAATTTCCAGGCCTGGGAGGCAACGCCGAAAATATTTTTAAAATTCAATTAAAAAATACATCATTTTTGAAACTTTATTTGAACAACTGTGAAGTCGTCCCACTCCAGTTACACTTGATATAGAGACAGAGGTGTTACACACACTAATTAAAACACCTAAATGAACGTTATAAAACTAAATTACGCAGCAGAGAATAAAAAACTTACATCTAAAATTAGGCACAAAACGTAATGTTAAGTGAAATCCAAGAAAGCATAAAAGTAATTAACAAAAATTAAAGGGACATGAGCAATGCCTCGTTACAATGAGAAATGCATTTATTTTCCATGACAAACTTACACCTATAATATACTTCTCCTCCCATGCACTTTGCGTCAAAACTTTTTTAACAGATTCACGAACTTTAAAATATATATGCCATTCCTAATGTTGAATTGGTCTTACAACACTTTTAAAACCTCCCAGTATCTCTTAGTAACCTCATATAAGAAAACTGTTAATAAAAATAAGGCTAGGAACACATTTAAAATTTCCTCAGTTAAAAAATCACCCTTACAAGTGTCAGTCTTCATAAAAATTCATTGGAAGAGATCCCAATTTACGCGTTATCCAAATCCATATTGTTTATATCACTCTCCATCACAACTTCACTAGCCATTCTATTATGATCAGGAATTTCCTCTTCATTGTTATTTCGATTTTCTGTTTCTAGATTTTCTAAAGGTATAAGACGCCGCGGTGGCGTCCACAACACTAAAGCGGTACACGGGCGCTGAATTTTTGATAACAAAGACTGAGGCAAAATAGTGTCACTTTGCAGCTTCCTCATTTCTTCACACATGTAGAGTCGCCTTGTTCTCTCGCTCTCTGATTCTTTTGAGGAAGTTGCAGTTTCAGAACTTATGTGAAGCCGTGACATGTGCTCTGCCATTTTTTCTTCCGTGATGTGTTGCTTGTAAGCCTGTAACCTACAAACACCAATGCACCACAACCTACAAGGAGAACAGATACTTACGTTGGAGAATCGGTCTTTCGTTTACAACGTAATGTTGATGAAGAACTGCCACCAAACACATGATTTTGTAGAAGCGAAGTACTGGGTGTAGGTCGTGGGCTATGTGGAAACGGAAACTGAGCTGGATGCGGTGTTTGCGTTGTACAAAAAGAGAAATTTCCTAAACCTATTGGAGACTGTTGATAATTTATAGACGGGCTAAACTCTCCATGGGATCCTACAGAAGGAGCTGGTGCTGTTTCAAATGGAATGCGACTCCAATCTATTGGTTGAACATTCAGAGAAGGATACGGCTCAAAGCCAAACACTGAAGGACGATTTTCTTGGTTAGGATCTCCTGTCATGTTATTCATACATGCAACCACTTCTTGAGCTTTATTTTAGAGAAAAAAAATCTTGGAGGCTCCTCAGAGGTACCTTGGCGTAAATTTGTTTATTTTTTGTTGATTAAAAACGACCACACTGCCGCAAGTCTAAAACACGCAACTAACATCAGCTGTTTGACATTTGACGGACTGCTGGTCGGTTAAAGAAAAATCTAGAATTTTTGTGAAATTTGGTTTGGATGCCCGATGGAAACAAATTATATTTAATTGAAATAAATAAATAAAAAGTTAACATGTTTAAATAAATAAATTGATTATACTAAAAATTAATTAATTTTTTGTTGGGCTCTGAGATGTGAGCGAGTGTGAATTGTGATGATTGTGAGTTGTGGACATTGTGATTTTTTTAGTGATTTTAACTCCTTATATTGGTAGCTCCTTGGTGACATAGGTTAGGTATTTCAGTTGCCTAACCTGCCTAACCTTTCATTCTCTCTCTTGCTTACAAGCGTTTGGAAGTGCAAAACGTGAAAAAATGTCGTGAGTTGTAATTCTTCTTATTTTTTGTACATCCTTTAATAGAATCAAAAAATAATATCAGCTTCATAACTAAAATGTCATTACCTTTATTACTTGACAAATATTTTTTTCATAAATTTAAAAATACATTCCAAATTGGTCATGTCTTGTGAAATAAATTTTACTTTAATTTTACAGGTCGAAGGTATCGCGCGACACCCTTTACGAATGCGTTAATGGGGTCTTAGAACATTCAAAGCAGAAGAAAAGAAATTTCTTGGAAACGGTGGAAATCCAGATCGGACTGAAGAATTATGATCCACAAAAGGACAAGCGTTTCAGTGGCACCGTCAAGTATGTACACCTGACTTGAGCTGTTTATATTACACTAAAGAAAGAGAAATGTAAACAGTTCACGTGTCAGGAAGCTAGAGCATTCTAGCGGACCTGCACCCAGGGTCTTAAAATAACTGGGGAGATATGTTCTTGAGACATATCGCCCAATAATATAGGTTTGATTAACGCAGGATAATCTCATCCCGTCATGGTGGTGAGTTTTATGGCCCCGATGTGAACTTGTTACCTCTTTCAAGATCATAAGTATTTGTTTCATTGTTGCTCTCTTCAGGTTGAAGCACATCCCTAGGCCAAAAATGCAAGTATGCATGTTGGGAGATCAACAACATTGTGATGAAGCTAAAGCCAATAATATTCCATACATGGATGTTGAAGCATTGAAAAAACTCAATAAGAACAAGAAGCTTGTTAAAAAACTTGCCAAAAAGTATGATGCTTTCTTGGCTAGTGAGGCTTTGATTAAACAGATTCCTCGTCTGCTGGGTCCAGGCTTGAACAAGGCTGGTAAATTCCCTGGGTTGCTTTCGCATCAAGAATCGATGACTCAAAAAATTGATGAAGTAAAAGCTACAATCAAATTTCAAATGAAGAAGGTTAGTTTAGTACTTATTGGTTGCATCATTAAGCCAACAATTTAGCATTTTTATTGCTTAGTTTGTATGGAATAATGGTGCTAAAGTAACTGCAATTATAACTACCATTTTTACAAATGTAACTGTGGCTTTAACATTGCATACATTTCCATGAGTAGAATTATTATGTTCAGTTTTTTTAATTAAAGTTTGGTTTCTAGGTATTGTGCTTGTCTGTTGCTGTTGGTCATGTAGATATGACAGCTGATGAACTGGTTCAAAATGTCCATCTGGCGATCAACTTTTTAGTTTCTTTGTTGAAGAAACATTGGCAGAATGTTAGGTCTCTTCATGTTAAATCATCAATGGGACCACCTCAAAGATTGTATTAGTGTTTTATACAATATAACGTACTTTGTATGTAATAAAAAAAACACACTGTATTAATTGTTTTATTAGTATTATCAATCAAATGAAAACAATTTTTTGCATTGGTAAATCAACATCAAAAGTAGATTGTGTGTAGTTACCCCTATGAGAATGGTTAACTTTTAATTTGATAGTAAAATAAAAATAAATTTACATAAGGCTTTAGAAAAACTGAACCCGGAAATTTGAATTATGATGTACAGCTGTAAAAGAAACAAAAAAAAAAAGGATGGCTACAACTGTATAAGGTTGCTGCCGTATTTTTCGTATAGGTACTAAGTAGAGATGTACCGACTACAGTCGGCCGACTGTTTATAAATGCAACAGACAGTGGGTTTTTTTTTCTATTTCTCTGACTACCTTAAAAACTTGTTTTATTTTAATAAAAGGAATAACTGAAGTTTCTTTTTTTTCCAAAAAATGTGTTAAATTTTTTTGGATAATTTTAACATTTAATTTTTTGTAGTAACTCAGTACAAAAATAAAGAATAACACAATTTAGGGCAGTTTATACAATACTTAACCAATTTTAACCACTTTTTTGGAAAATTTTTGGAAATTTTAAAGAATCGTAACTAGCGGAAGATTATCTACACTTTGACACCAATTTTCGGTCGATTAAACTAATTTTAACCGGTTTTGACAAAGCCGACTAGTCGGCCGACTGCAGTCGGCACATCTCTAGTACTAAGGCAAGCTGATTTACTGACTCCCTTGTTAAAGTTTGTCTAGAATTATAAGAATTTTATGGACTCCCAAAGTTAATTCGTTTTACAGCCCTGTTGTCAATTTTATTGTACAGCTGATGAGCGGGACGAACTTAGGTACAGTAAACATCGGCTTGTTCCTGACAGGCTCTTTACCTGTACAATAGAATTGACGACAGGGCTGTAAAACGAATTAACGTTGGGAGTCCATAAAATTCTTATAATTCTGGACAAACTTTACCATACACCACTGTACGATCACAGACGCTACCTACCTAACAGGTAAATATATATTTTGACAACAGGCACGTAACCAGCCTTTTATTTTGGAGGGGCCCAGCCCGGGCACTAATTTCAAATAAGGGGGCCTTTAAAAAAAGTGTTCATTAGTATAAATCAACATTTTACTTGAATCACAACCAGTATATAAATTTAATGGGGTGCAAATAGTTGAAATTGACCAACACCATGAGAATGCATTTAAAGTCTGCGTGCCAATACTGCATAGTGTGTAAAAGGCATATCAGTTGTACCGGCTAATTGCTTAAAAAAGTTATCGACAAAACTGTTCACAGCACTATCGCATTACTCAGAGAGTTATATTACAAGATAAGAACATAAGACTACTCACAGATAAAATTTACTTTTGACCTGAAATTTCGAATTTTCTTTACTTTTTAAAATTTAAAATTAATTTAAGGGGGCAACAGGGTTTTGCAGGGGTGGCCTGTGCCCCCCCAGGCCCCCCCTTGGTTACGTGTCTGTTTGACAACGACTAATGCAGATCATAAAAGTCCACTTTCGTTCTATAGCAGCATGTATTAAAAGCATTTGTTTATAGCAAGAAGGCCCGAAGTCAACTTGCTCTGTATACTCTTAAATACTTTGAATTTGGACCTAATGTGTCTAGCAATGAATTCATTAATATGAATTAAAGTAGTAATCTTGTAATGATATTCATTTATTTTGAAGATTTTCTAAACTGTTGTGGTGTCCTGAATTTTGAAATTTAAATTTCACGGTAAAAAAAACAACGCCACAAAATCGCATCTGAAAATTCAAAATAAGAATGTCAGTCAGTTAGGATGAACTCTTTGATTCCTCTATAACGTCTTCATCCAACATTTTCCTTACCAGTTTCTTGATTTCTTCTTGTGCCAATGGTAGTATTTGCGAAGCTTGACGGATCGGTGGCGCGCCTCTCGTATTTATCCGGTGTATGTTTGTGTATCAAGAGGATTCCCCAGATGCCAAAGATCCCAGATGCAACATTCTATTCCAGTTTCTGTAGAAACTCTCTTGCGTCTTTCCGTTGATCATTGATTAGATGACCAAGCTCTAGGACAGCAATTTCTAAGTTGTTTTTTATTTCTTCATCATTGTTTTTAGAAACATCTTCATTTTGATGAAATAACTTCGTGACTAGTTCACAAACGGTAAGATCTTCCCCACTCTTTATGTTCATGAATGTGGGAAAAACATTTGCGACAAGTACGTGTGCCAGGAGCAGTATTAATTAAAGCACTCGCAATCATAAAATTCTCCTTCGGATTGTGTGGTGGTTGAATAAAAGGACGTGGGCAAATCGTGTTTGATTTCTGCACTGACTGGGACAGTTATTGTTTCTGCATTCCCCCTAATTACTTTCACATTCTGACACGCGATCAATCTTACCGGTTTCTGTTCGACACAACGCTGATTCAAGATGAACTCTTCATTATCAAGACGTAGAACTTTCTCCACTGGATCGATCCATGGCAGCTAATCAAATCCATTTCCAGAATAAAGTTATCTCCTCAAATCGAAGTTCTAGAGCAGCAAAAGCACAATATTTGCTTCTGTCTTCTTCAAACAAGGCTTGAAGTATCACTTTTCGTCCACTTTTTTGTTTCTCGCGTCCAGTTTTTCTATTCTTCCGCCCAATTTCTTTGTTTCTTGTGTCCATCTGCGCAAGCATAAACATCATCTTCTTTACTAGTTCCTCTATTGCGGCAGTTTGAGGTCTAGTCTCGATAAGTATAAATCTTCATAATTCTTGTAAAATCTTCGATTTACTGGGATTAAATCGGCGGGGGTAAAATTCAACGATTTATTTATTGAACACACCAAAGTACACGACTTTTTTTAACGTTGGCCATATGTATGTGCTAAATACGTGTCGTGTTTTTAGTACGTAAATCTCTAGGTTAGCGTTAAAAAAAGGCAGCAATAATGTAGAGCAAACGTGAACGTAGATTGACAGGAATAAGCATGCCTCATTGTATCAATGTTAAAAATTTGCCTGCAAAAAGAGCTGCACAGAAGAACTATGATCATTTTCGTACTACATCGGGAGCGGTTGAATAAAACGATTTACGAGTATTTAAAATCGGCGTGGGTAAAACTCAGCAATTTATTTCTTAGTAATACTGTTACACGACTAACTATACAGCGATATGTCGTACAGAATGATTCCGGCTAGACTGGCATGGGTTTGATTAGATCCATTCTCTCATTGACTGGACTCGACTGATTGCTCTAGATCAGGGCTTCTTAAACTTTTTTCGTTCACGACCCCATTTATGATTGCGAGTTTCCTGGGGACCCCATGTAAATATAAAAAAAGGTATGTGTGACTCTACACAAATACACATCTAGATGTTATAAAATCGTGTATTTAAATATTTGACATTAAAATCTCTCGCGACCCCAGAATTTTGCTACGCGACCCCATTTGGGGTCGCGACCCATAGTTTAAGAAGGCCTTCTCTAGATGATGGTCTCTATTTAAACAGACACGCGTCCCTCCCTCAAAAAACAGTTCGTCATAACCGCTTCGAGCTTGTTATCGAGCCCGCCACCGAGGTTCCCACAAAACCGCTAGGCACTTCTTTATTCGAACGCTGGCGCCGCCGTGACCGATGATGAGTCACTGATCATCGCCGTACATAAAGTACAAATCTTAGTTCTCCAGATTTCTTTTTGTGGGCTATCTCAAAGACAAAGTTTACAAACAAGAAGCAACGACACGTAAAAATATGATTGAGCGAATCAGAAATGCTTGTGCCGAAATTCAAACATTCAATATGCATTGAATTCGGAGGTCATCATTTGGGCACTTACTTTAACTCACAAAACTTCCTTTAACTGAAAGATGATGAAGCGAGGGGACTCATGTAAATTAAGCACCCTAATAAGTGAGAGGCGAAGAGACTCACATAAATGAAGCAGTCTGATAGGTGAGAGACGATGGAACTCATCTAAATGAAGCACCTTGAGAGGCGAGGGGACTCACACTCAGCTAAATCAAGCACCCTGATACGTGAGAGGCAAGGAGACTCACGTTAATCAAGCATTTCGAAGGTAACAGAAAACTACTTCGTCCACCTCGTTATTCCTCGGTTACGCTAAAAGTCGTTTATTCGCCAGCCATTTACATTTCTATAGGTAGCAATTTCCAAGTTATTCGAAATTTACAACATGAATAAACTTTTTTGACGACTATACGTTTGTCCACTGTGAACAGGGGTATACGTCTTCCATCGATTCAACTTTATACATTACTAGCTATTACCCGGTATGCGTTGCAGTGTTCCTTTAACAAAGATAATGGGTGTGAATAACAACTTACCAAAGTTTCATCGCAATCAGATGAATGGTTTACGAACGCACACGGGACAAACAAACAAATAAGTATTCATTTTTATATAAAGGGTGTTATTCAAAGGTACGTACAACAAAATGGACAGTTCTTGGCGAAGTCTAAGAAGTTTGAAAAACTTATTTTGTGTTATCAAAATTATAAGGGGAAAATTAACCTTTATCCAACCTTTTTAGACGCTACTGAGGGATAAATAGGTAAGATTAATTTATTTTAGTAAATTTTAGCAACAGTAACGATAAAACTTTTGTCAAGACTAAAGTTGCTATAGAAACGAAAGATGATTTTTTATCAGAGGCGTACGAGTTTGGACATACATTTTAATAACTTTTATCTCTAAAAGGAGAACACTTTTACATGAACTTTTTTTAACTTTTGGCATCCATAGTTCGAGACCAATTGCCAGTTTTATTTTGTACGTACCTTTCAATAACACGCTGTATATAAGGGAAGAAAGAAGAAGTGATGTAACTTGTTATGCTTTATTGTGTCCTTTGTGAATTTGCTATCACTATCCTTTTAGAGGTTGTGTGCCTAAGTCCAACTACTGATTCCACTAATTTTCGGAATAACAAAAGGCTGATGTAAAAACTGGTAAATCACATGGAGGTAAAATGAGAGGAGGGAAGATAGTTTGAAAAAGTGCCTGGTATCGGGCCTTCGACTA